CTCTCTCTAAAATTCAATGGAAAAAATATCCCTGGGTGAGGATTAACAAAACAAAAGAAAGAGAGAAGAAAATAATATTCCCTGCCATCAAAAGCTGCTCTCAGCACAGTTTTCCCCTTCTACTCTAGGCCAGAACATTACACACAAATGGGCAAAGGGAGGATATTATCCTTCAATTCTTTTCACTAGTTCTCTTTCCCTCAATTTGCAGTTTCAATAGTCTCTTCCCATCAAATGGGCTGCCTTTGGCCTCAACAAATCCACCAGTTACTCCATAACACATCTTCAATCCATGACCTTCAAGGAATGAGAGGTTTTGTATCTGCAGTCAATCTCTTCTCTGATTACACACACACAAACACACACACTGTATACATTTATATTAATGACAATTGTTTAGTAGGATCAGCACTATTCTGGAAGGATAAAATTAAGGGGTAACCTTACTAATGGAAAAATAGGGTCATGTAGCTGACGGTATTTCCCAGATTATTAATAGATTATTGAGCCTTTTCCCATGGGTTGTTTGTCATGTAAAAAAATCAGAATTTAGCCCATTTTCCAAACAAATCCACTGAGCTGGCGTGGCTCAGTGGATTGAGCGTCATAGACTGAGTGGTCCTGGTTTGATTCCCAGTCAGGGCACATACCCAGGTGGGGGATGATCCCCAGTGGGAGGATGTTTCTCCCTCATGTCAATGTTTCTATCTCTCTCTCCCTTCCTCTCTTTCTAGAAAATCAATAAAAACATGTTTTTTAAAAAAGTCAGAACTTAGAGCACCATCTGCATTAGCAAAAGTGAAATGTTGATAACATTTCTACCTAACGAATATATCCCAATCCATTAATTCACTTTACAATAAATGAGGTTTAAAATCTATTAGGCATAAATTTACTAAACAGCAGATATTTATTAGAAAGTTTAAATTCTCTAAATAGGTTTAACTGACCTAAATATTCATTGATGTGTTTGGAAAATGGCAAAAACCTACAAGGTAGTAAGTCAAAAGGACATTGTTTATTTTTCATGTATGAACAAGAATTGAGAAATAAAAAGCTCAGAAGGAAGGTAATAAATAGGAATAATCCACAGAAAATACAGCACAAAAATTTTACATTGAAAGTTGTGTTTTTCACTGAGTTTTAACATTGGCTGGTTGAGGTCATTATATTTTTATAAAAGAGGAAATCAGCAAAGAAGAAAAGTTTAGAAAATTAAAAATAAGAGCACATTTTCAGGTCAAATTATGAAGAAGAATGATCACACAGAATATCGGTTTATTCTATTAACACTCTGGGTTAATATTATATTAAGGTATAAAATCATAGAAAAATTTTATATGGATTAAGCTTTTTCCTAACTTGTTTGGAAAAAATTTATACTTAATTTTAGTGAAACAAAATATCTATAGCTTCAACCAAGACTTTCTAGATCTTTAGGTTAACTAACATAATTGCACAAAATATATTTTCCCTAAACCTAATTGCTATGTAGGAAAAGGTAGGAGAACTTCTATAGAAACTTCTGTATCTGTGACACTATAAGGAAGGATTTTAAATAAAATATTATTGAATACATGAATATTTCAAAATAAATATGTTAATACATATTCTATTATCAATTCATTAGCATCTAATTTTATATTGGTCTTATATTTATTCTGTTGGTGAACAAAGTGAACTGAAACAGACTCTTGGGAAGATGAGATTAAAGTCAATGTCTGTTGCAATCATTCAGTACAAAACTGGGGATACATTAGGTACTAAATAGTTACTGATAAGATGCATGGTGTGTTCATACCATTCTAACTCAGTGTTTTCTATCCACATTTGTTCTCATGTTTACATCTAAATGAAAAACTACTGGAAACATTTTCAGGATTATCTTGATCTCTTTATAGCTCAATACTGACACACAGATACAGTGTTCACATTTTCATGTGTGTTTTGAATTATGTTGTGTGTGAATGTGAATGCTGCTAGACTGGCATGTACAAGTGTAAAAAAGACAATTGTCCCATGTACACCTTTATGGTCACACTGACTTATTTCATCAGCTTCAAAGACTAAAAATTCCTTTTAAAGTGATGACTGGGAAATGAAAAATATTTCAAAAGAATGAAACTTCAGCATCTTCAGTTATTGAAGTTAGTGAGACTTATTTTTTTTTCTTTATTGATTTTAGAGAGAGAGGAAGGGAGAGGGAGATAGAAACATCAATGAAAGAGAGCATTGATTGGTTTCCTCCTGCATGCCCCACTGGGGATCGGGCCCACAACCTGGGCATGTGCCCTGATTGGGAATCAAATCAGCGACCTCTTGGTGCATGGGTCGATGCTCAACCACTGAGCCACTCCGGCAGGGCTGAGGTCAGTGACACTTTTAATGGTACACCATAAAACCAGAAGAATTACATTAGAATAAAGTTTTACTTTACTTTTTCACAAGTTAATAAAAAAAAGAAAAACATGGACAATATTTAAATTATGGCTTCCACTAACTGAAAGCAAATTTACTTTATGAATAATTCTATAAACTCTAGTGTGTCAACTATTTCATAAAGAATGGTGGTCAAGCCCAGCCAGTGTGGCTCAGTGGTTGAGTGTGGACCCATGCACTAAGAGGTCGCCAGTTCAATTCCCGGTCAGGGCAAATGTCCAGGTTGTGGGCCAAATCCCCAGTGGGGGGCAGGCAGGAGGTAGCCAATCAATGTTTCTATCTCTCTGTCCTTCTCCCTTCCTCTCTCTCTAAAATCAATAAAGATTGGGAGGAGGGTGTCAATGGGGGGGGGGGGAAGAGAACCACCTATAACAAAAATAAATAAATGAAAAAAACAAAACAAAACAATAAAGAAAAAAAAAAAGACTGGTCAAGGCCTGAGATGGTCTACATACATCAGGGTGTAAAGGCATTGCACTCTAAAGAGAACCTGAATTTCAGTATATAGAGAAGAGATGATAAATTTATTCTCAGTGAGAAGTGATTGTGTTTAAAAGGAAAAGCATCATCTGAAGCATCATTGAAACTTCTTAAGTCTTTTTTTTTTTTCTTCAAATTTAAACTGACACATCAGCTTCTTCTGGCTCTCAAGCCTGTTGGCCTTTGGACTGAACCTACATCATCAATTCTCCTGAGTCTCCAGTTTGCTGTCAGATTTTGGGACTTGTCAGCTTTCGTAACTGCATGAGCCAGTTTCTTATATAAATCTATTCATATCTATATCTATAGCTATAGGTATATATTTCCTGCTGGTTCTGTTTCTCTGGAGAACCCTAATATACATCCTGACCACAAACATTTCATTTTATGGTCCTATATTCATGTTTTTTAAAAACATGATCTGATTTGAAGTTTTCCCATTTTGTGTTTTTATTTAGTATTATATTTCTCATTAAAGAAAAACTGAACAGAATGCTTTTTGGTACATACGTATATTTATTTTATAGAAATTTGATGTCCCAGCCCATGCTTGTTTGTTGATTTTCCTTTCAAAAATTGATTTTAAGTGTTAGGTTTATTTTAGTTATAATATATATTTATTTTTCCATTACCTACTTTCCTAGGAGGTACTAATAAGGGATGAAATATATGAGAAACACTATTCTCATCATTAGTACACATATAAGCATTTAACAGTGTTATATGTAGAGTAAATATTTGTAGAGTAAAATTGTAGGGATAAATTCATTATTAATTATCTTGGGACTAGAGTGTATAATGAAAAAATGTTCTACAAAATCAAGACCTCTTCTAGTCAAATAGATTCTTACAGTGAAGTCTACAATGGAATCTTTCAAGGAAATTCTGAAAGTCCACAATTATATTAAGACTAAAGACTGGTGTTAAGCAAATATATATAACATAATTATATCTCCTTGAGAAACTGATCAAGTAGTTCTTTTCTATCATTAAAACAAACTTAACAGACAATGTTATTATTCTATTTATTTACAGAATCAACAATTAAATGCCTCTAAAGCTGATTAGATAAGTTTACATAGTGACATTTGATATTTAACCCTTTGTTTTCTTCATAAAGACTGATTATAAAATAGCATAAATTTCCAAAGAGGAACAGACACCCCAAGAAAGGTACATTAATCAAATCAATGGGAATAAATTTTTAAGTAAAAATAGACATTTTATTCATAACTTTAAATTACCTGAGGGCATTTATAATATTCTGTTACACTATCTTGTACCTTGAGAACACAGACCACGTTTGATTTTTCTGTGTATTTCCAGAATCACAGTGTCCAATACACATTTGGAGTATATAAATGTTTGTTGAATTAATACATACATAAATTAATTATAAATACTTAGGTTGGTCTTATGTCTTCCACTATAATATCCTTGAATTCTAAGTATATATTTTCTCTTTGTAATTTCCAAATGCACGAGTAATATCTTGTGTGTGTTTACTTGGGACAATAAGGGGAGAAAGATAGCAGGTTTATGTTTGTTTTTGTTTTGATCTGCTTCTCCACTAAACACTAATCCCATGGGAACAGACTTAGCCTCTCTTTGTTACTAATATATGCTCAAATCCTAGACCAGTGCCTGGACAATTCTAGATAATCAATAAATACTTGTTGAATGAATGAATGAAAGGCCATTTGACATCAGTGGTATTCCCAACCGCTGTGGCTCATTCCTCAGGACCTGAGTGAAAACGTCCATGCAAAGGCTTACTGGGTGGCGATGAAGGTACAAATGAGACTGGAAAGAAGATAGGTCCCCATGGTTCAGTGCTTTCCCTAGGAGTGCCCCTAAACCCTTCGTTTCTTGCCAGAGGAAACGGAAGTATGTACTTACTCAAGGGCAAAGAAGTTGTCACGCCAGGAGAAACAGGTGAACAAGCCAGGATCAGTGATGCGATCTCTGAAACCGTGCGCACTGGGGTGTGGACAGGACAGGAGGACGTGTTTGTAGGGCTGCGCTGGAAGATGACCAGGTGGGAGGGACGGACAGACAACAGTGCGGGGGGGGGGGTGTCAATGGGGGTAAAAAGGAGGAACACCTATAGTACTTTCGACACTAAAGATGTAAGAGGAGTGATGGGCGAGGATCAAGGGAGTGAAGAGCAAGTTGAAAGAGTGAAAGATGGAGAGGTGAAGAGTCAGAGCCTAGAGGCCGGGCTCGGCCATCGGAGCGGCGGGAACTGGACGGTGAACAAGAGGAGAAGAGGGGACATCACGGGAGTAATGAGGCCCAGCAACTGAGTGAGGCTGTCACAAGTGTCCTCGGTATCATGTGGAAGTCATTCCAATTCAAACACTGCTTTGTGATATTACACGTAACCAACCACACCAGGAAAGGACTGTGTTTAAAGAAACAATCACATAGGGCAACGTTCAAGCAAACTGCTCAAAGAAAGCATGTAGGTGATTAACACAACAGTTGCACTTATATTCATGAAAAACATCTTCAAATATTATATACGCCGATGCCCAGCCCGGAGACGCCCTCCTCACCCAGACTGGGATGGAACCTGGGAAACGCCAAAGCCGTGGCCGCCCGGGGGTGGGAGCCCCCCTCACGTCCCCCCTCACGTCCCCCCTCACGTCACGGACCCTCCCTCGCCACGCCCCCAACACGCTTAAATAACAGTCACTTCTTCCGGTGCCACCTCAGAGCCAACCGCCAGCCGCCTGCAGCCTACCGCCCTCGCGGCCAGTCTCCGGCCCCCTCGCGGCCAGTCTCCGCCCCGTCGCGGCCAGTCTCCGGCCCCGTCACGGCCAGTCTCCGGCCCCCTCACCGCCTGCCCCGGGGACACCACAACACCCCTGCAGCCTGCACCTTCCACCCGACCACTGCCCGCCCCGCAGCTCGGGCTTCCCGCCACCTGGGCCTTGGTGTCCACAGAGCCTGCAGCTTCAGACATGGAGGCCCCTCCGCCGTCCTACGTGCGCCAGAACTACCACCCTGACTGCGAGGCCTCAGTCAACTACCTGATCAACCTGAAGCTCTACGCCTCCTACGTGTCCACATCCATGGCCATCTACTTCGAACGCCACGAGGTGGCCTTGAATCACTGTGCCCAGTTCTTCCGAGAGCGGGCAAGCAAGGAGAGGGAGCAGGCGGACCGCCTGATGTGGCTGCAGAACCTGCGCGGGGGCCGCACCCTCCTGGAGGGAATCCACAGGCCTCAGCATGACAACTGGGAGAGCAGCCTGAGGGCCATGGAGTTCACCATGCTCCTGGCGAAGAGAGTGAACCAGAGCCTCCTCAGTCTGCACCAGCTGGCCACTGAGAAAAAGGACGGCCACTTGTGCCACTTCCTAGAGAGGGACTACCTGCATGAACAGGTGAACTACATCAAAGAGTTGGGGGACTATATCAACAACCTGCAGAGTATGGGAGCCCCACAATCTGGCCTGGCAGAGTACCTCTTCGACAAGCTCATCCTTGGTGCCAGCAAGAAGAACTGAGCCGGGACTGCCTTCCCGAGAGCCATGAGCTGACTTCCTCTGGGCACCGTGCCAAGCATGTCTGTTGCCATATTACCCTTGAAAAACGTTCACTTCCGTTTTTAGGTTCAAGTTGCAACATTTCTTTAAATAAATTTATTGGTTCTTAAACAAGTAAAGGTATATTTTTTTAGTTCAATTTTCCAAATCCTCACCTTTTAAGTTTTAAAACAGGTATTCAGGAGTCTCTCCACCCACCCACACCCCAATCACATGCAGCTCGGGATCTCCACGGATGGAGGGAGGAGGTATTTCTTGGGACACTGGGTGGAGGGAGGAGGTATTTCTTGGGACTCTGGGTAGAGGGAGGAGGTGTTTCTTGGGACCATGGGTGGAGGAAGGAGGTGTTTTGTGGGACCCTGGCTGGAGGGTGGAGGTATTCTGTACGACCCTGGGCGGAGGGAGGAGGTATTCTGTGAGGTGAGACGCAAGGTGGAGGAAGGAGGGGTTCCGTGGGACCCTGGAAAGCACACATTTAATCTGCCCCTTATAAACAACGTGGCATACGGGGTGGGGTGAGGTGGATGGTCTGCGGCCCTGGTGAATGTGGATGTACGTTCATGCTAAAAGTATAAAACATGGCCTTAAAATCACAGGTGTGCTTGCCTCTGGAGACTGAACAGAATGGGATTGAAATAAAGGATTCTTACATTTCACCTAAAACTTTTTAATTTACCAAAATATACAAATGTTAATGTTTATTGACATCATCAAGCTGGAGACCCCAAAAGCCATCCTGGCACAGTACCTCTTTGACAAACTCACCCTGAGCGACAGTGATCATGATAGCCGACCTTCGGCGGGCTCTCCCATCGACGTGGGAGTGACTTCCCACGGCCACCATGCTGGACATGCATACTGCCCTTACAAAACATCCAAATATAGTTTTTGCTTCAATTGTACTCTTTCTTCCATTAAAGTAACATGGTACCCCAAACCCCAAATTACCTCAGTAGAAGGACTGAAAAACACAAGGTCAAGGCTGAGGGCCAAATTTCTGATATTGAATGTTAACTAGAAAAATGCCTCTGAATGTTGTCAGTGACCCACTGCTTTGAAGGCTGTAGAGGGTGGAGAAGAGCTGAAGCTGGGGAATCAGGTAAGAGATGGTGTAGCCCTACTGGGGCTAAGCCGTTAGAGCGTCGGCACATGGACCAGAGAGTCCTGCGTTGGGTTCCCGCTCAGGGCACGTACTTCTGTTGCGGTTTGGCCCCGGCCTCGGTCGAGGTTGTGCAGCTGACAACCATTCGCTGTGTCTCTCTCACGTTGATTGCCCCCCCATCCCCCAACACACACACACCCTTTCCTTTCCACTCTGTCTGAACATAAATGCAAAAATGTCCTCGGGGGAGGACTAAAAACAAAAAAGAGAGATGGTGTAGCTGGTTCAGGTGAAAGACAATGGTGGCTTGAATTGTGGTGGTGACTGAGAAAATGAAGAGATGAAGATAAATTCCAGATGGATTGAATGGGTTGACATGATTTGCTTATGGACCAGAGGTGAAGAATGAGAAATGAGGAAAATAATCTAGCTTCTACTGTTTAGAATTGAATAACTGGATTGATGGTAGTACTACTTATTAATTTGGGGACTTTTGGGCAGGGACATATCTGGGGTGGAAGGGTGGGAATGCCATATTATATAACATCTGAGATGCCTATTAGATGTCCAAGTAGAATTATCACGTGGATAATTTCGAGGCTGCAAAGCCATTTATACACTCCCTGCTCCAAGTTTGTATTGGGGGCTGGGCTTGTAGGCACTTTTGTCGTAGCAAGTACCAGGATTTCATACACACAGAAAGAAAACATGTGTTCAGCACAAACTATATTGTTTACCCTGTCTAGGCACAATGAGACACTTTTATCAATTAGGGAAAGTGGGAACACTCTCCAAACTGGAGTTCCCAGATACCAGGCCCAAGGTCAAACCTCACAAGGAGGCCTTTCTAAGGATAGCAGTGTCAGTCCTTCTATGAGAACACATTCATGCACAGTAGATGTTATATACCCAAAATGTGCATTTATAGTCTACCCACTAGTAGGAAGGGCCTGATACAATATCCGTATGAAAGGTATGCAGCAAGCCTAAGAAAATATTATGAACAACTATATGCCAACAAATTGGACAATATGGAAGAAATAAATGACTTCCCAGAAAGATACAATCTTTCAAAACTGAATCGAGAAGGCACTGAAAAACTGAACAGATGGCTTATAACTAACAAAATTGAAGCAGTAATAATAATAACAATAACTAAAACAAACAAACAAACACCTACCAACAAATGTCCTGGACTGCATGGCTTCATAGGTGACTTTTCCCAAACATTCAAAGAACTAATACCTCGCCTTCTGAAACTATTCCAAAAAGTTCAAGAGAAGGGAAGAGTCCCAACCTCATTTTACAAGATTTTTTATGGCACATCTTTCTTCTTGAGTGAAGTTTGGTGGAGAAAGGTATATAACGTGGTCATGTAGACTTTTTCCAGTAACAATTTGATTTAGATTTTTTTGTATGTACGTTCATACATTAGATTGACCTCTAGCTTACTTTTAACTAAATTGTTGAATTTATTGGCATAAACTTGTTTATTATTAAAAAGACTATTTTTGAAAACAAATGCGTATTTTTTTTTTTTTTTTTTTACCATCTCAACCAATTCTCCAACTTTTCAGATACCACCTGAGCATCCTAAACTGCAATGATGACACTAACTACCTGGACTTAGTAGAGATCCCACAGGGTAAGTACTCAGTCTCATAAGATTGCCTCCGATCCTCCACTTCAGGCACTAATTACAAGTCTAGGTTCTCACCTGTGCTTCTGACCAACAGGCTGTACATGGAAAGTTCCCGTGACCTCCTTCTCAAGCGGTTTGATAATTTTCTAGAATGGCTCACAGAACTCAGCAGAACAGTTTACTTAGTGGATTACCAGTTTATTATAACAGGATACAACTTAGGATCAGCCAGAGGGAAGACACACATAGGGCAAGGTGGAGGGAGAAGGGCCATGCAGCTTCCATGCCTGCTCCAGTTGCATCACCCTCGTAGTACTTCCATGTATTCACACCCCAGATACTTTCTGAACCTCTACGATTAGGTTTTAGTGGAGGCCTCATTACAATAGGCATGATTAATGAAATCATTGGCCGTTAGTGATTAAGTCAACCTCCAGCCCCTCACCTCACCTCTCCAGAGGTCAGGAGGAAGGACCACAAGCTCCAACCCTCTAATCACGTGGTTGGTTTCCCTGGCAACCAGACCTCCATCCTCAGGGGCTTCTTAAAAGTTGCCGCATTATCATAAACTCAGGAATGGCTGAAAGGAGTTTACTGTAAATAGCAAAAGATGGCCCTTTCACCTTCATCGCTCCAGAGTTCTTTTAGGAACTGGTGACAAAAAAAAACAAGTATTAAAACAAAATGTGTTTCCATCACTCTCATCACTTAGAAAATTACTAAGGTTTTAGGACCTGTGGCCAGGAGCTGGGGATGAAAACCAAAATATATATTTCTTTTAATATAAAATTTCAATTATATCCCCTCATTATCTTTTGATTAAGTGTATGATCCACAATGATGTCTTCTTCTCATCTCTTTCGTGATATAAATAATGTTATATTTATTGAACCTTGTGTTGTAGCATAGAACATGGTCTATCTCGGTAAATGTTCGATGTGCACTTGAACAAAAAATTCACTAAGGAATATGTTTCTAAAGTTTCTTCCCTCTGACTCTATGATTTTGCTTAACATGAATAGGATTTCTTTTTTTTTCATCCTTTTTCTCCTGATGATAACAAATAATACCTGTTCGCTGCCTGCAGAGAGGTCTCTGAGGTTTTTGAAAGCTGTAAGAGTATTGACTATTCAGAAAACGGGTGTTTTTATTTTAAAATAAAGAAGTGTAATTGAATCACGTTGGTAAACTAAACACAAAAATTATCTGCGTGCGTGCACACACACACACACACAGAAAGGGTGCCATTAGGGGACCGGAAAGTGTGAGGAATTCTTGAAAGACAGATAAGCGGAGGCTACTGGATTGGTTACTTCAGAGAACGTGAAACGTCTGCAGTAGAAACCTGAGCACTGTCAGAGAGACTCTCAGAACAGAGCAAGTGACATTGCAGCACTGTAGAGGGTCCTTGGTCAACTGTGAGATCCCAGAGCTACTTTGAACAGCAGACCTTCCACCTGGCTCAGCTCGAACCTCCCCCACCCCTGCTCGTGTAGGCCGGCGGGCCCCTGTGGCATTTGACCCCTTTAATCTCCCCAAACTGCACTCCGAACACAGTGAACTCGGCGCCATCAGTTTAAGACATTTGCAGAGCCGCAGAGAAGGGAACCATAGGACGCATCTACCTACAAGGAGAACACACGAGTCTTCCAATGTCAGAAATATCACCTTTATTTTGTCAACAGGAAGCGTCCCGGTCCTGCCTGTTGGCTACATGGCGTGTATAGAATGGACACGCTCCACCCCCCACCCCCCCACTTCGAGCAGGAGCCCAGGGGTGCCGCGGACTTCACAGCTCTAGATCAGATCCGTGCTAATGACCTCGGTGGATCAAGTGCGTCCTTTATCCATCAATGTAAACGAACAAAGGTTCGCCAGATGCATGAGGAAGGCCAAAGAGAAGCTCGCAAGGAACACACAGAACGATTTCACTTCGGGGCGGGGGGACCCAGATGAAATACAGGAAACAGAAGGGAATTTTACCAGAAATTCAAGTTCAGAGACTCGGAATTTTAAGTCAGGCAAAGGGCCTTACCAAATAAAAAATGTCAGCTCTAAGGAAACGATTCGAGGACAACAAGTTCTTGCAGGATAGAAATGCTGTCGTACAATGTAAAACATCCCGTGCAGGTGCTCAGGCGGACTCTCCCGCCTCCCCGGGGGCTGAGATGGAACCTGCCTGCAGTGCGTCGCCCACGTGGGCCCCCCTCTGAGGCCCCCTCACGCCCCGCCCCCGCCAGGATCCTCCCCCCCGCGCTGCCCCCTCTCGCAACGTCCCGATTAACGGTCGCTTCTGCCTTCTTCCTTCTTCCGGTCCCCCTCAGAGCCCAGCGCCGGCGGCCTGCCGCTCACTCCTGAGAAGGCCGGTCCGCAGCCGCCCTGGTGGCCCGCCCCAGGGACCTCCGAGGTCGCCACCGCTGCCCGCTGGGCCTTCAGCTGCCCTCGCCTACCACCATGGGGATGATCCGTCCCCGGCGAAGCCGCCGCCCCCGCCCGCGCCGCTGCCCGCCCCGCAGCCCGCCCCTCAACCCTCGCCATGACGCCCTGCTGACCTACTTGGCGGGAGGGCCCCCTCCAGAAAACCTGCTGCCTATGCTTCCAGGCGCGGGGCCTGCGCCTCAGGCCCCGGCTCCCGAGCCCCCAGCCGCGGCTCCCGAGCCTCCAGCGGGGCCCGGGCCGCTCTCGCTCGTGCGCCAGAACTACCACGCCCACTGCGAGGCCGCCATCAACAAGCAGATCAACCTGGAGCTCTACGCCTCCTACGTGTACCTGTCCATCGCCTTCTATTTCGACCGCCAGGACACCGCCCTGAAGCACTTCGCCAGCTTCTTCCTGTGGCAGTCCCGGGAGGAGAGGGAGCAGGCCCAGGCGCTCATGAAGCTGCAGAACCAGCGTGGCGGTCGCCTGCGCCTGCGCGATGTCAGGAGGCCTGATCGCAGCCAGTGGGAGAGCGGCCTGAGGGCCATGAAGAGCGCCTTGCACGTGGAGAGGGTCGTCAACCAGAGCCTGCAAGGCCTGTTCCAGCTGGCCTCCACCCGGAGCGACGCGCACCTGTGCGACTTCCTGGGGCGCCACCACCTCCGCCAGGATGTGAAGTTCATCAACCGCTTCGGCGCCAACATCGTCGAGCTGCGTCGGCTGGGGGCCCCCGAATCCAGCCTGGCCGAGTACCTCTTCGACAAGCTCGCCCTGGGCGCCAGCGCGAAGCCCTGAGCCGGGACTGCCTTCCCGAGAGCCACGGGCCGACTTCCTCGGGGCACCGTGCCAAGCATGCCTGTCGCCGTATTGCCCTTGCAAAACGTTCACTTCCGTTTTTCGGTTCAGGTTGTAGCATTTCTCGCAATAAAGTTATTGTTTCCTACGCAAATGAAGGTCTTTCATTGATTCGTGTGTGCAAAACCCTCACCTTTTGTTTTACGATAGGCATTCCGGAGTCTCTCCACGGCTGGAGGGAGGGGGTATTCCGTGGGGCCCTGGGCGGGGGGAGGGAGGATTCCGTGGGACCCTGGGCGGAGGGAGGGGGGATTCTGTGGGACCCTGGGCGGGGGGAGGGAGCATTCCGTGGGACCCTGGGTGGGGGGAGGGGCATTCCGTGGGACCCTGGGCGGGGGAGGGGGTATTCCGTGGGACCCTGGGCGGGGGGAGGGAGGATTCCGTGGGACCCTGGGCGGAGGGAGGGGGGATTCTGTGGGACCCTGGGCAGGGGGAGGGAGCATTCCGTGGGACCCCGGGTGGGGGGAGGGGCATTCCGTGGGACCCTGGGCGGGGGAGGGGGTATTCCGGGGGCTGAGGGAGGGGGGATTTTGTGGGACCCTGGGCAGGGGGAGGGGGATTCCGTGGGACCGGGGGCAGAGGTAGGGGGGATTCCGTGGGACCCTGGGCAGGGGGAGGAGGTATTCCGAGGGTCCGGGTGCGGAGGGAGGAGGGATTCCGTGGGACCCTGGGCAGGGGGAGGAGGTATTCCGAAGGTCCGGGGGCGGAGGGAGGGGGCATCCCGTGGGACTGGGGGCGGAGGGAGGGGGCATTTCGTGGGACCGGGGGTGGGGGGAGGGGCATTCCGTGGGACCCTGGGCGGAGGGAGGTGGCATTCTGTGGGACCGGGGTTGGAGGGAGGGGACATTCCGTGGGACCCTGGGCGGGGGGAGGGGGATTCCGTGGGACCCTGGGCAGGGGGAGGAGGTATTCCGAGGGTCCGGGGGCGGAGGGAGGGGGGATTCCGTGGGACCCTGAGCGGGGGGAGGGGGTATTCAATGGGACAGGGGTGGGGGGAGGGGCATTCCGTGGGACCCTGGGCGGGGGGAGGGGGCATTCCGTGAGACCGGGGGCTGAGGGAGGGGGGATTCCGTGGGACCCTGGGCAGGGGGAGGAGGTATTCCGAGGGTCCAGGAGCGGAGGGAGGGGGCATTCCGTGGGACCGGGGGCGGAGGGAGGGGGATTCCGTGGGACCCTGGGCAGGGGGAGGAGGTATTCCGAGGGTCCGGGGGGGAGGGAGGGGGCATTCCGTGGGACCGGGGGGGAGGGAGGGGGCATTGCATGGGACCCTGGGTGGGGGGAGGGGGATCCCGTGGGACCCTGGGCGGGGGGAGGGGCATTCCGTGGGACCGGGGTGGGGGGAGGGGCATTCCGTGGGACCCTGGGCGGGGGGAGGGGCATTCCCGTGGGACCCTGGGCGGGGGGAGGGGGGATTCCGTGGGATCCTGGGCGGGGGAGGGGGGATTCCGTGGGACCTTGGGCGGGGGAGGGGGGATTCCGTGGGACAGGGAGCGGGGGGAGGGGGGATTCTGTGGGACCCTGGGCGGGGGAGGGGGTATTCCATGGGACCTTGGGCGGGGGGAGGGGGGATTCCGTGGGACTCTGGGCGGAGGGAGGGGGGATTCCATGGGACTTTGGGTGGGGGAGGGGGGATTCCGTGGGACAGGGGGCAGGGGGAGGGGGATTCCGTGGGACCCTGGGCGGGGGGAGGGGGATTCCGTGGGAACCTGGGCTGAGGGAGGGGGCATTCTCTGAGGTGAGACGCTAGGTAGAGGAAGGAGGGGTTCCGTGGGACCCTGGAAAGCACACATTTAATCTGCCCCTTATAAACAACGTGGCATACGGGGTGGGGTGAGGTGGATGGTCTGCGGCCCTGGTGAATGTGGATGTACGTTCATGCTAAAAGTATAAAACATGGCCTTAAAATCACAGGTGTGCTTGCCTCTGGAGACAGTGAACAGAATGGGATTGAAATAAAGGATTCTTACATTTCACCTAAAACTTTTTAATTTACCAAAATATACAAATGTTAATGTTTATTGACATCATCCGGGTATCAAGCTGGAGACCCCAAAAGCCCTCCTGGCACAGTACCTCTTTGACAAACTCACCCTGAGCGACAGTGATCATGATAGCCGACCTTCGGCGGGCTCTCCCATCGACGTGGGAGTGACTTCCCACGGCCACCATGCTGGACATGCATACTGCCCTTACAAAACATCCAAATATAGTTTTTGCTTCAATTGTACTCTTTCTTCCATTAAAGTAACATGGTACCCCAAACCCCAAATTACCTCAGTAGAAGGACTGAAAAACACAAGGTCAAGGCTGAGGGCCAAATTTTTGATATTGAATGTTAACTAGAAAAATGCCTCTGAATGTTGTCAGTGACCCACTGCTTTGAAGGCTGTAGAGGGTGGAGAAGAGCTGAAGCTGGGGAATCAGTTAAGAGATGATGTAGCAATACTGGGGCTAAGCCGTTAGAGTGTCGGCCCATGGACCAGAGAGTCCTGTGTTGGGTTCCCGCTCAGGGCACTTACTTCGGTTGCGGTTTGGCCCCGGCCTGGGTCGAGGTTGTGCGGCTGACAACCATTCACTGTGCCTCTCTCACGTTGATTCCTGCCCCCCCTACACACACACCCTTTCCTTTCCACTCTGTCTGAACATAAATGCAAAAATGTCCTCGGGGGAGGACTAAAAACAAAAAAGAGAGATGGTGTAGCTGGTTCAGGTGAAAGACAATGGTGGCTTGAACTGTGGTGGTGACTGAGAAAATGAAGAGATGAAGTTAAATTTCAGATGGATTGAATGGGTTGACATGATTTGCTTATGGACCAGAGGTGAAGAATGAGAAATGAGGAAAATAATCTAGCTTCTACTGTTTAGAATTGAATAACTGGGTTGATGGTAGTACTACTTATTAATTTGGGGACTTTTGGGCAGGGACATATCTGGGGTGGAAGGGTGGGAATGCCATATTATATAACATCTGAGATGCCTATTAGATGTCCAAGTAGAATTATCACGTGGATAATTCCGAGGCTGCAAAGCCATTTATACACTCCCTGCTCCAAGTTTGTATTGGGGGCTGGGCTTGTAGGCACTTTTGTCGTAGCAAGTACCAGGATTTCATACACACAGAAAGAAAACATGTGTTCAGCACAAACTATATTGTTTACCCTGTCTAGGCACAATGAGACACTTTTATCAATTAGGGAAAGTGGGAACACTCTCCAAACTGGAGTTCCCAGATACCAGGCCCAAGGTCAAACCTCACAAGGAGGCCTTTCTAAGGATAGCAGTGTCAGTCCTTCTATGAGAACACATTCATGCACAGTAGACGTTATATACCCAAAATGTGCATTTATAGTCTACCCACTAGTAGGAAGGGCCTGATACAATATCCGTATGAAAGGTATGCAGCAAGCCTAAGAAAATATTATGAACAACTATATGCCAACAAATTGGACAATATGGAAGAAATAAATGACTTCCCAGAAAGATACAATCTTTCAAAACTGAATCGAGAAGACACTGAAAAACTGAACAGATGGCTTATAACTAACAAAATTGAAGCAGTAATAATAATAACAACAATAACTAAAAAACAAACAAAAAACAAACAAAGAAACACCTACCAACAAATGTCCTGGACTGGATGGCTTCATAGGTGACTTTTCCCAAACATTCAAAGAACTAATACCTCACCTTCTGAAACTATTCCAAAAAGTTCAAGAGAAGGGAAGAGTCCCATCCTCATTTTACAAGATTTTTTATGGCACATCTTTCTTCTTGAGTGAAGTTTGGTGGAGAAAGGTATATAACGTGGTCATGTAGACTTTTTCTAGTAACAATTTGATTTAGATTTTTTGTATCCTAAGTTCATACATTAGATTGGCCTCTAGCTTACTTTTAACTAAATTGTTGAATTTATTGGCATAAACTTGTTTATTATTAAAAAGACTATTTCTGAAAACAAATGCGTATTTTTTTTTTTTTACCATCTCAACCAATTCTCCAACTTTTCAGATACCACCTGAGCATCCTAAGCTGCAATGATGACACTAACTACCTGGACTTAGTAGAGATCCCACAGGGTAAATACTCAGTCTCATAAGATTGCCTCCAATCCTCCACTTCAGGCACTAATTACAAGTCTAGGTTCTCACCTGTGCTTCTGACCAACAGGCTGTACATGGAAAGTTCCCGTGACCTCCTCCTCAAGCGGTTTGATAATTTTCTAGAATGGCTCACAGAACTCAGCAGAACAGTGGCATTTGACCCCTTTAATCTCCCCAAACTGCACTCCGAACACAGTGAACTCGGCGCCATCAGTTTAAGACCGCAGAGAAGGGAACCATAGGACGCATCTACCTACAAGGAGAACACACGAGTCTTCCAATGTCAGAAATATCACCTTTATTTTGTCAACAGGAAGCGTCCCGGTCCTACCTGTTGGCTACATGGCGTGTATAGAATGGACACGCTCCACCCCCCACCCCCCCACTTCGAGCAGGAGCCCAGGGGTGCCGCGGACTTCACAGCTCTAGGTCAGATCCGTGCTAATGACCTCGGTGGATCAAGTGTGTCCTTTATCCATCAATGTAAACGAACAAAGGTTCGCCAGACGCATGAGGAAGGACAAAGAGAAGCTCACAAGGAACACACAGAACGATTTCACTTCGGGGCGGGGGGACCCAGATGAAATACAGGAAACAGAAGGGAATTTTACCAGAAATTCAAATTCAGTGACTCAGAATTTTAAGTCAGGAAAAGGGATTTACCAAATAAAAAATGTCAACTCCAGCGGGAAACAATAGAGGACAGGAGAAATTTTTGCAATATAGGAATATTATTGTAAAATTTAGAACATTAATTGCCAGGTGCTCAGGGTAGACTCTCTCTGTGTCACCCAGGGTGTGATGGAACCTGAAATATGTCATTGGTGTGCTGACCACTTGGGCCCCCCTGATTCCCCCCTCTCCTCCCCTCAAGGAATTCTCCTTCCGTCTTCCCCTCCCCCAACACTCTGTACCATCTTCTGTCTTCCGGTCCTATTTCCGTCTTCCGGTCCCATCCTCCATCTTCTGGTCCCATATCAGAGACAACCGCTAGCCGCCTGTGACTGAACTCTCGAAAATAGCACACCTGTCTCTGGCCACTCTGGTTACTTTTTCACCCCCGGGATGCTCTAAGGCTCGCTCCATATCCCCAGCTACACGCCGCCTTGGTCTTGGTGACCCTCCCCCTGTACCCGGCACCCTTGTTGTTAGCCATGGCTATCCCTACACCCTCATCTGTGCGTCAGAACTACCACCCTGACTGCGAAGCTGCCATCAACGACCAGATCAATCTAGAGTTCCATGCCTCTTACGTGTACCTGTCCATGGCCTTCTATTTCGATCGTGACGATGTTGCCTTGAGGTATTTCAGTCAGTATTTCCTTCAGCAGTCGAACAAGGAGAGCGAGAATGCGGAAAAACTTATGTGGGTGCAGAACCAGCGCGGGGGCCTTATCCGCCTATTCAACATAAGAAGGCCTGAGCATGAGAACTGGGAGAGTGGCCTGAGGGCTATGGAATACGCATTGCACCTGACGAAGCAAATGAATGAGAACCTGCTCAATCTGTACCACCTGGGCACTGAGAAGAAGGATGCTCATGTGTGTAACTTTCTGAAGCGTCACTACCTGCATGAGAAGGTGCAGTTCATCAAAGAGTTAGGGGACCATATCACCAATCTGCGAAAAATGGGAGCCCCGGAATTTCGTCTGGCAGAGCACATCTTTGATAAGCTCACCCTGGGTGGCAACAAGAACTGAGCCTGGACTTTCTTCCTGATATCCATGTGGTGACTTCCTCTGGTCACCATGCTGAGCATGCCTATTGACTTACTGCCCTTGCAAAATGTTCACTTTAGTTTTTATATTCAAGTTTTACTATTTCTTCTAATAATGTTATTGGTTCTTAAATAAATACAGGTGTTTGATTCGTGTGTACAAAATCTTCATCTTTTTTTTTTTTTTCCTCACCCGAGGATATTTTTCCATTTTTTTGTACAGATAGAGTGGGAGGGAGCGAGAGAGAGAAACATCGACGTGAAGGGACACATCGAGTGGCTGCCACCCGCACAACCAACCAGGGCCGGGGACAAACTGCAACCGAAGTACGTGCCCCTAGCGGGAACCGAACCCACGTCTCTCCGGACCGCAGGCCGACGCTCTAACCGCTGAGCCAAACTGGCCAGGGCAAAACCTTCATCTTTTTATTTTTTTATTCCTCACCGGAGGACATTTTTGCATTTATTTTCAGATTGAGTGGGAGGGAGAGAGGGAGGGAAAAAGGGAGGGAGAGAGAGAAAGAGAAACATCGATGTGAGAGAGACACGTTGACTGGTTGCCACCAGGGTCAGGGAGGAACCGCAACCAAGGTGTGTGCCCTTAGCAGGAACCGAAGCCAGGCCTCTCTGGTCCGCGGCCCGATGCTCTAACCACTGAGAAAAACAGTCAAGGCAAAACCTTCATCTTTTAAGTTTTAAAACAGGTATCCAGGAATCTGTGCACCCACCCATGTTCCATTCACATGCAGCTGAGGATCTTCATGGATCGAAGGAGGAGGTATACTGTGGGACCCTGGATGGAGGGAGAGGTATTATGTGGGACCCTTAAAAGCACAGAATTAATCTTCCTTTTATAAAACATGTGGTATGTGCAAGTGGGCTGAGGTGGAGCCCTGGTGAATGTGGGTGCATGTGCATGGTAAAAGTATAACAAAATCATAGTATGAAATTCATGATACTGGTTGCCTCTAAGGAAGAAGTAAAGAATGGGATTGGGCAGGGATTAAAATAAAAGGAGTCTTCCAATTTTCTCTAAAAAATTTTAGCTCATTAAATTGTTCAAATGCTAAAGTTTGTTGCTTCTGGGTAGCAATATTGGGGGGGGGGTATCTTAGAAGTCTGAATAGTATGATATTTCTTTGACAAGCTCACCCTGGGAAATAGTAATAATGGAAAATGAGCCTTAGGCCGACTTTCCCGTAGACACAGGAGTAACTTTCTGTGGTCATCATGCTGGACATGTACTACTTTTCTCCTTCAGTTGTACCCTTTCTCCTATTAAAGGTAACACATTTTCAAAATCCATAAACTACCTCATTTTAAGGGCTGAAAATATATAAGGTTAAGGGTGAATGTCAATGTAGAGGATGGGGGAGAGTTGAAGCTGGGAGACCATTTAGGACATACTGTAGCTGGTCCAGGTGAGAGACAATAGAGTTTGAACTTTGATGATAATTGAAATGAAGAGATGTAGGCAAATTCCAGATACACTGGATGAGCTTTTAAGCAGGTAAACTGACAAGATTTACTTATGGAGCAGAGGTGAGGAATGGGAAATTGGGAAAATTATCTAGGTTCTAGTGTTTGGATTTGAACACCTGGATTGATGGTAGTGCTATTTATTAATCTGGGGACATTTTTAGGGGGACACAGGGTTAGAGAAGGCATGTGTGAAATCTGAGATGCCTATTAGATATCCAAGTAGAAATGTCATGCAAGTAGCCAGAAAAATGAATCTGGAGCTCAGGTGGTATGTCAGGGTTGGAAATACACATATGAGAGACATCAACTATAGATGCTTTTGAAGTCATGGGACTGGATAAGTTCACCAGAAAGAAAGTGTAGAGAGAGTATGGCCCATCCAACCCCAATCCCAGTACAGCTAACATTAGAGGATGGGTTGAGGTGTTCAAACAGTCAGGGGGCTGCTGGCCCCAACCTGTACTGTGACCTCATTCCAGAGTGTGGTCACACATGTCTGCTCAGAGTTCATCTCAAAATCAGCCTGTTCCTAACCTTAGTGTGGCCTCTGGTTTCTCCTTACATAATGTGGAGAAGAGTTAGCCTATTACCTTGTCTCCACGGCTATGGATAGAAAGAAATTATTTCCCAGTAAAAAGATTTCACAAGGAAATGAGAGACCTGCTGCTCTATGTATGTTGTTGTTTTTTTCTTTCCCCCTTTAAAAACTCTTTCCCTGTCTCAGTCCTATCTCTATTTGACCAGATGAAATCTGTACCTATGTTAATCCTAAAGTTGTCCAGGTCTGAGGAAAAATACTCAAAACATTTTGTTTCTCCTATAGCATGTATAGTTTACAAAGACCAAAGTTAAAAATTTGTAGACTTTGTATGTAATATTCAAAGACACGTGGGTAGCTTGAGTCTCTTTAATGCTAGCAAATTGCTTTGAATTATTTAGTAAAATATGAACAAGTTTAGCTAAACAGTAATTTCCTTCCACATTTCTCCATGACTTTGCTTTAACACTTCCTTAAAAATGAGGATTATGGTCTTTTGAGTTCAGTTTCAAGAAAATGTGATTGTCCCTTTACTCTTTTTTGTCAAACTTGGTATTTTTAATATTTTTTTTCTTGGCCTGCTTTGAGGACCTCTCCTCTCTCTGAATTTGTCTCAGATTTTTTGGGGGGTGCAGGACTACTTATATATATATACTTCAATACACATCTCTCCCCTAGATATGAGGAAGCACAGGACAAGCATTGTGGTTGTTTAAAACTGTCAGTTCACTGAGGATCCTTTATACTTTTCTGTTTTGAAGAGGCAGTTTGATATAATGATTAATTAACCTCAGAGTGTCTGAATTCACATATCATCTTAGCCACTCATCTTGGGTGAACCTGTGTAAGATATTTAATTTCTCGGTTTCCTCACATTTAAAATAAGAATAATAAAAGTGTCAAATTCACTGTGTTACTGTGGAGATTAAATGAGTTAATATATGTAAATCTTTTAAAACAGTGTTTGGCACAGTGTAAATACTTTATTTGTTAGTCATATTATCTTCATCATCATTTTTATCATCATCCTTGAGTCACTTTTAAGTTCCTTTGTGTGGATTATGCTTTGGGGAAAATATTGCATGTCTGTTTATGTTGTCATTGAAGTCTTTTGCATTTTAGTCAACTATGTCACCTTGCATGTTAAGAAGAAATAAAAAATTCTTTGTAGCTTCTTTGGTTGTCAGGTGTAGCCAGGACTCAAGGAAGAAAGATTTTTGTTTATGCTGCCCCAAGCTCAGGCTGGGAAGTGAGTTTTACTCTGATGCTTTCTGTGCTAATCCTCTAAATTTTGTCTCAACCAGCTATCCTTTAAAATAGCCCCCTAGAACACATTTTAGCTTAGTCTTGCCAAATCCAGGTTGCCTGATCCTTCTCTTTCCATGTTGAACTACTTTTTGCTCCTCAGGGATGTACAAAAGTGAAAGGGTAAAGGGCTCACTTTGATTCCTACTATATATATGGATGTTTTGTCATAAAAAGGTGTAAAATAAGGCACAGAAATGCAAAAGGGACTATATTAGGGCTACTGATAATATAAAAATTAAAATTTATTAAACATGCACTTTAGCCTAGAGGTTCCTAAGCTTTTCTAATATTAGTCACCTGCAGACCTTTAAAAAATCTTGATCTCAGACCAAGTACATCAGAGTCCCTTGGAGCATGACCTAGACATCCTGGACAATGAAAACAAGTGGGAGCACCTTGCTACTCAAAGTGTGGTCTATGGACCAGAAGCATCAGCCTCACTTGAGCACTTGTTAGAAATGCAAACTCTGAAGCCCTACTCCAGACCTACTGAATCAGAATCTACATTTTAACAAGATCCCTGGTAATAAATGCACACTGCCATTTAGAAGCATTGCTTTAACATCCTGGTATTCAAACGTGGCTGCACTATGGAATTATCTGAGGAGTTGAAAAATAACACTGATGTCTCGATGTACACAATTCACTCAGTCATACCATCATGCAAGTACTGGACCAATTATACTAAAAGCTTACTTTAACTTCAACAACAATTATTGAATCAATAATTATTGATCACACACACACACACACACACACACACACACACACTTTAATCCATTCTGCTGTTTTATCTCAAACTGGTTTGTTTTATAGCATGGGTTGTCAAACTACAGCCCACAGGCCAAATCTCTTTAGTTTTCTTGTGAAACACTTAGCTGCTTCTGCTATCATGATAACACTAGCTTTGGAATGTGTTAGAAAATGTTCCCTGTGCTATTTTTCAGAAGATTTTGTAAAGAATAAGATATTTATTCTTTAAATATTTGATAGAGTTCATCAGTGAAATCATTTGAGCCTGGACTTTTGATTATGGGTAGTTTTTAAATTACTAGCTTAATCACTTTACTTATTATAAATCTATTTACATATTCTAGTTCTTCTTGAGTCAGTTTCTGTAGTTTGTATTTTCCTAGGAATTTGCCCATTTCATCTAGGTGGACTATCTAGTTCTGCTCCATATTATCCCCTTATAATCCTTTTAACTTCTATAAACCATGTAGTGATGTCCTTGTTACATTACCAATTTTAATAATTTAAGTATTTTATCATTTTTTTCTTGGTCAGTCTGGCTGAGGAAATTGTCATTTTTGTTGATTTTTATTTATTTATAAACAAACACCTAATATTTATCAATAAATTAGTACACTTGAAGGTATTTTTTCTGATATCAGTTCCTCACAACTATCCACAAACTGCCCTCCCCCCCCCCCACACACACACAAAGGGAGTTCACACCACCTTTGCATTAGAGTCTGGAGATTGAACAGTAGAGAGTATATCTATAAATGGGAGCATAGTTGCAAATATATTGGACAAGAGTTCTTACAGCTGCAGCCAATTTTAACTGAAGTGATTGACTGATGTAGGAAACCCACCAAGACCAAGGCCTTGATCAAGGGCAGACTGGACCTATCAACCATGTGTGGATGAAA